CCAGTGCCCAGCCCTCCTCACCGAAGAACCGAGAAGACCCGTGCCATCTTGCCAATGGCTCTGATCTTATTCCTGATGATCTCCTTGCGGACCGTTGTCCCACCTTAGGGAGAGAAAAGAGCAAAGAGCGGAGCGTTGGGAGTTTTCCTGCTCTCCAGGGGAAAGTCAGGATGAAGCACCTGCCTGACTCCGGGAAAAGAAATCATGGTTTGACGGATTGAGAGAGAACGGTGCTGGAAGGATGGCATCAGGATGGCATCAGGATGGCAGTGAGGAGGGCAACACCAACGACATGGCACACGGGACTCGAGAGGGCTGAAGAGAGTAAAACCACCACAGGACACGGGATTTTGGGGAGGTCTGGCTCGCCGGGTGGGCTCACACTGCACGGGATGGGACACAAATGACTCAGCCATGGAGACACGGTTTTGCAAGGCAGGGCACCGAGGGGGCTGATGGGCACCGCCGGGCTCGCCCCTGCTGGCACGCAAGCATCAGCTGTGGCATCCAAGGAGCACAGGGAAGGGCTGGCCCGAGCCTGGCAGCTCCCTTTTTGCTCCAGGAGAAAGGGGAGAAAAAAAAATAAAAAAATAAAAAATAAAAAAAAAAGCACGGAGGGAGCTGAAACCGAACCAAAACCAGGTGGAAAGAGGGAACAAATCCATCTCCTCTCAGCTGAGATTCCTCACATGGCTCAGTACACATCAGGACAGGGAAGCCAAACCCAGGGCTAACATGCACCATGGCTCAGCCATGCACTACGTGGCTGCATTCAGAATCAGGGTAGAAACGTGACCCCCGTTTCTCCAGTTCCTGCAGGAACGCAGAAGGGTTAAAAAACACATGGAGCTTATGTTAAAACTGAAAGGGGATGAAGAGACTGCCCCACTAGTCAGCTCTGGAAATCCACTTCAAGGATCTGGTGGCACAGGCAGTGATAATTAAGCTCGTAGCAAATTCTAGCTGGGTACCTTTCGGATAGCTTGAAATGTAGTGATCTTCAGGGAGAGGAGACACCAAGAAACAAGTAGATGAAGACAGAGATAGAAGAAACAAATTTAATTTTCATGGGAGGGAGGAAAGCAAAAAAAAAATAAAAAAAAACCAAAGAACGAAACGGAAATGCAATGGGAGAAGCGGGTCAGAGTCTCTACCTGGGGCCAGAGCTGCTCAGGCCCCACTTCTCGCTGCCCCCATAGATTTCTCAGGTCACCACCTCGCTCCTGAATCCCCCAAAATCCAAACCTCTCAGCAGCTCAGCCACTGATCTGTCCCCTTCATGCATAGCTTCAAAACCAGGGCCAAAAAAGGCGCTGTAGCTTTTGGGGAGGGGGTGACATGAGAAACTACTTTACAGAGGAGTTCACTGCAACAGATGAGAAGATTGGSTGGATACTTTGGTGCAGAAAATTTTGAATTGGGGGAAAAAATAACCAACAGCCTGTGTAAGGAGCAGGAAACCATTCCCAGAGTAGCTGGCAAGAAGTGTCTGTCGCAGTGAATGTCATTTAATTTCTCTCTGACTGAACAGCAAAGGAGAAAAAAAAAAAAAAATTATGTTCCCTACCCAGAACTGCACAAAGGTTGGGCAAAAAGAGACCCTGGCTGGGCTTCCAGTGATAAATCAAAGCCCTTGCCCAGCTTTTCCCCCCTCTGCTGTCAGGTACCAGCAGGAATATTTTACCTTCCAACGTTTCGTCGCCGTCCGAGATGAGCTCGTCATCGGAGCAGATGTTGAGGATGTTCACGAGCATCTCGGTGACTGCAAGAGGCACAGACAGAGAGCTCAGAGAGGCTTGGGGCACACAGGGAGGGATGTGGAGGGAGAGGGGAGGATTTCAAGGTCGTCTGTGCCCTGGAGGTGGGAGCTTGGAGAGGTTTTTGAGCGGAGCAGACGACACACGCGCGGCGTCTTCTGCCAAGGAGGTGGTGGATGCAGGCCAAGCACATCACAGATGAACCAGACGTGGGCAAYGAGGTGCCAGCATTGCTGCAGAACAGCCTGAGCTCCCTCAAAGCCCTCCTCCTCCCCACCTGCTCCCAGAAGGGCCAAATTTGGGGAGGGGGTTCCACCTTTGTTGCCTCAAAGTCAAAAAAAAACATTTGGGAGTTGTGAGGTTGGAGACACGTTCTGAATGTATGCGACCAGGGTGGAATTTAAGCTCATCAGGAGAGGTAAAAATCCTTCTGGTGAAAAGCTCAGGCAGAATCTTGGTTGTATTTTAAGCTGCCTCGCCTCCTTCAGCACGAAATAAGCCTTGGATTGAAGTGAATGCTTCCTTTTTGGTGGGCCAGGAGCCAACAGGAATTTTWAATTCCTCTGTTGCAAAGCAAGAGAAAAGTCTCCAAATTCTGAGGTGGGGCTACAGAACCCAAGAYCAGCTCCACCAGCAATGCAGAAAGAGCCAGAAAAGGGGGGTGTGAATGGTAAAAGCTCTTTCAAACAGGTATCAACAGCTATTAATCCAAAAATTTAACCCAATAATGAAGATCTGCTTAGCATGAATTGCTTTCCTGTGCTACTTGGAGCTGCAAAACTCTCCCAGCATTGTGGGGAAGGATTCTGACTCAGGATATGAGGATCAGTCAGTGGGAATTTGGAACAGAAATCCCAATAAATGTCTCTTACCCTTTTCCCCTACGAAAGGCAAGGACCATGTGAAGACATCCATGAAGTTTGGAAGCCAGTAGGGGTGAGGGGAACAGTTGAACTGYCTGATGTTCATGACGTTGTTTTCGTATTTCAGAACAGCAGCTGGAAGGGAAAAGAGAAAGAAATGTCCAGAGGCAATCCTGGAATGGGCTGGGTGGGGAGGGACCTTAAAACAATCCAGTGCCACCCYAGRGMCACCTCCYRCTGTCCCAGGGTGCTCCAAAATGGATTTGGATATTTCCAGGATTCAGGGGCTCCTCTGGGAATTCCATCCCATCCCCTCCTCACCCTCCCAGCCAGGAATTCCTTCCCAAATCCCACCCTTTCCCAATGTGACCCCATTCCCTGTGTTCTGTCCCTCCATCCCTTGTCCCCTGTCCCTCTCCTGCTCTCCTTTAGGCCCTGCAGGGTTTCTCTGGAGCATTTTCCTTACTCACCCCCAGCTGTCCCACCCAGGCTCCCTCAGAAAGTTCTACCAGCATTAAAATAACTTCATCATCAACACCAATTTTCCCTGGTGTAGAAAAACTGCCAATTCTTCAAAATGAGAAGGTTTAAAGCCAAAATTTTTTGCTTTACTCAGGTTGGTTAGAAGAGTGAAGGTTGAACAGAGCCAAGATCCTAAATGAGGGGTGAAAAACCCCACAGCTGGAGAAAATTCCTGCACAATCCCCAGAATTTAGGGGCAGAGGGAAGTGCAAAGCTTTCCTACAGCATCCTGTGGGATGGCAGCACCCACCAACAGRGCTCTGCTGTCCCRKGGCTGGCAATGAAAGCTTTATCYCAGCTTTTCTGACTGCACACACAGTTCATTCCCACAGCAACACATGAAGTCAACCACTCCAGCTGAGCACACAAAGCTCTCTTTCATCCCAGGCACAAGAATGTGGCTGGAGGAGAGGGTTTTCTATCAAAAATGGTGTGGTTGGTGTATCAAAAGCAGTGTGGTGGCAGCTGGAGCGGGGCAGGGATTGTCCCTCTGTGCTGTGGACAGTTCTGGTC